ATTCATTTTCCTCGAAGCCGCCGAAGTCGTGAATGGCGTCGCCTACATAATGACCGGTACGTGAATTTTCACAAAGCTAGAATGCTTTCACTCCCGCTCTTCTACAAAACGTGCTATGGACATACCGCGAGATATTAGAATGATTGAACCTCAGCGCTGATGTATGAACCCTTTGAGTCGCACACAAAATTGGACCCAGCGCACACCACCTGAAGGTGGGGGCAAGCCAAATCTAGTGTGCTCCTCTAAGCAAGTGCCTTTTATCCTTTACAAACAAAACGACAACCACCTAACGATGGGAGATTCGATCCATAACTTGATCCCCGAAGCGTGTAAGTGGTAGCAGCACCTTTTGTCGCTACACTACACAGGTTCACTTGAAACGAATCGAGCGCCCAAAATTATAGGAACGCCCGTTCATTGTACCCCTTTCAGGAGTTGGTCGACTGAACTCGATTGTCAGTGGCATTTCAAGGAAGCCAATCACTGTAGAAGACTGTTTTTTCACAGTGGGTTCACACTACTAATTATTTTCTCCCAGCACTATACACTATACACTTCCAACGTTTCATAAATTTTGAATAAATAAGAGCAAAATCTTTTATGTCCCTCTTTGGGCGCAGTTCTGCGACGGGGGGGGGGGCATTTTGCTTCCCATCGATGTGTCGACCCATCTAGATAGCCTTTTCTTGAGTTGACACGTTTTACCATGGTGGCTAGACGAGCTTGCTCCAGCTTCACAAGAGTTCACAGGTTTCACCAGAGTGAGACTTGTAAACCGGAAGTGAAGCAATGAAAGTGCAAAATGTCCTCCCCCGTCGCCAAACTGCGCCCTCTCTTTGTTCACCTATTCAACAATGTTAATACTGAGAAAAATGTCCGCAGGGTTGAAAAAAAGAGGACTCAAAAAGGTTGATATTTTCGAAATGGAAAACTGCCACCATAATATAAGCGCCAAGTGAAGAGAAATTTAAATACCTGCATCGACTTCTCTAGCTCAATTTTTTTCATTTCTTTCTTCATCTTTCCTCTTCCTCTTCTATCTTTCAATCCTTTCCCTGTTTCCTCTTAACTTCTTCATAGGTTCATGGCAGCTGTCCTTCACTTTAGAGCCCTGAACATATAATGATTACGTAAATTTTTTGTAGTACACATAAAATTAATACCACCAAATAGACCTCAACCCCGCTGGGTTGTTTTTAGGATTTAATTTACTTCGAACCCACATTAAAGCAATAATTTTTACACTCATGACACCCAGTCACTGCCGAAAATTCACATTCTACCCTGCCAAAAAACTAAAAATAAAAGTGACGTGAATAACGATGCTCTCTGGAAGCGGTCTCCGACCAATAATCTCCGAGCTTTGAGCCGAGCACTATGGAAATATGTAGAAAAAAATATGCAAATTGCGACGTCAACTTATTCAAACAGAACCCGAAAGGATGGAATAAGGTAAACTCTTCAGGAAGCGTTGTCAGAGGGGTGCTCCCGTCAAGACTAGTGATGTCGTACGTAGGGGATACCCAGCGAGGAGGTAGAGGGGGTATTCCGCCAAACGGGAGGGGGGGGGTCGTCATTGCTTTTGAAAACGGCTGCTGTGGACTTTCAACGGCTCTTCCTGCTTTATGTACGCTACACAAACCCTCTCCCCCCGCCTTTGACTGCATCTTCTAGGAAAAAATGGTAAGGAATTAGGAAAATTCCAGAAAAATTGTTGGTAGGGGGGATCGTATTCGGCTAAGTTTTCCCTTCGACGCTGAGACTGTCTGGCGCCAATAAGCTCCAATTTGGTGTTATCATTTTTCCAAAAAGTTCCTTGCATACTTGTGCGTGGAAGGGGATCTCCTGATCACGAATATGACACCCTTCCTCGGCCAGCGCGTGAACTGAGCCCTCGACTAACTCAAGATGCAGGTTTACAGCGAATTCGGTGAAATAGGCAGGAGCGCCTAACCGAAAATGGATGACATATCTGAGATCAGGGCATCGAGCAACCTAAGACGATCAAGATCATCGCAATTTGCCGCTCTGTTGCGCGTTGCAGCCATGGCGGTATTTTCAGAACACCGCCACTTGCCGGCGCGACGTCGCACGCGACGCCCACCAGCGTGGCGAGATCCGATAGTCTTGTCACATTCCCCCGAATAACCCGTGCGTTTAAAGTTGAAGCAAAAAATTCTTCAGATTTTTAGTTGTAATAGAAGACTAGTGCCAATAGATTTTTTCAAGCAGGGGAACAGCTGACCCTGACCCAGTACGGTGACTTTCTAAAATATTTCCCAAGCTGCCAATTCATCAATGCATGGGGGCTGCAATTCTTGCTCTCTTGAACAAAATAGAGGGCTTTTTGCGGATTCGGTGAACCGTGATGAAAGCTAGGTAGTCTATCATAATGATAAACGAGACACCGTTTAGCTCACCCTCGCCGCGCATAGCCGTGGCCCCAACCACCGGAGTTGTTAGGCTTAGGGTGGGTGAGAGAGGGGGTGCTTTTGCTATTCACCTTAACTAACAAGTCTCGTTTTGGTGAGTCCTGCAAAGTCTTGTGAAGCTGGTTTGAAGTGGTTCAAAGGTTCAGGTGTGCCACTTTGGTTGCACGACTTTACAGGTCCTCACAAGATGGCCCGCGCAAGGTTCGATGAGTTGGTGCCCCCACCATGCCGATATATGCCCCACCCGGGACCAAATCAGCCATTAACAGAAACCCCACAGTTGGATTAAAGGAATGTGAGAAGATCGATATATCATGAATTACTACAGGAAGAAACTACTATCATAGCCAGGACACATCATCAGGTTGTGGAAAACGGCTTAACACGACCCCCCCTCCAATTTTGTCCTCGATGGGCATCCTGTTTCCCTGTCACGGACTTGTTCCAGGAGGACACCTGCGATGGGCAATCAGAACTAGTAGTTTTGCGCTGCGCCGCCAACTACGGTGGGTGGGTGGGGAGGAGTGAAATATAACGTAAATTAGTCGAATTAAAAATTAATCAGTCAGATCAATTAAATAAATTAAAAAATTCAGAAAAAGTGAGCCCTCTCCCTCTCATCCCGCTTCAGCAGCTAAGCACGACCCCATTGTGTTTTACACAAATGAATGGTGAACCCTGATCACACCTGCGTTTTAGCACATCGATCAGCTCAACACTTGGCCGACGAAATTCAAGAAAAACGTCCAAGACTCGGCAGTCCTGCCGCTTGGGGAAAAACTGCAAAACACGATACCCCCTCAAAACTTCCTCCTCTGGTATGAGCCCTTTCCCCATTTTTCACCTACCATCTCCCTCAATTTTCTCATCTTCATCCCATTGGGAAGAACACCTTTATTTTTTCGAAATTCTCCAGTTTCTCCCCAAAAAGGTACCGTCGAATGAAGGGGTAGGGGGCTCCTGCGACCAAATAGGCCCCTCTGCCTCGCTTGGGATCCTCAAAACCTGACGTACGACGCGTCGTACTTATTTGCCCTAGGACCCTCACTAACCATAGACCATCAGAGGACCACAGCACTGAAATCGCGTCCATTTGAACCCCTCCCTTCCCCTCCCCACGTAATACCTAGACCTTGGGCCTTCTGATTACCATGAGCTTCGGCTACTGAAGTATCACCTGCGACGAATAAATAGAGTTCAAAACTCGGCAGTTAGCGACCTCTTTGAATCACGAACCACTTGAAATCCAGACAAAAGCATCAATGATTCGCCTAAAAAGTGAAGAAAGATTACAGGTCTCCTTGGTAAAAATGCCATCTTAAGCATTTGACAGTTTTCAACTAGCTATACTTTACCAGTCGGCTCGCCGGCTGACGCCTTTTGCTAATCCTGTCCCATTTTTTTCTCAATCTCGGAGCTGCTGTGCAGCTGATTCATGGCTTTTTTCAGTGACACCGGAAGCACCGCCCATTTCCAGTACGCCCCGCCCATTTCGGGTGTATCTCCTCCATTTGATGGGTCATCCCCACTGTGTGTGGGGCTTACCATGGGTTACGGTTGCTCTTTACATCTTGTCACATGCCCTACCCATCCCGACCTTGACCACACCTCTCCAAGTTGTTCTTCTGGTAAACCGAGTTTTCGGACAAACAAACAAACAAACTAACTAACTAACTAACTCACTAACTGAATAACAAACAGACAAATAAACAAACAGACGTAGCAAATTATCTTTAGTGATGATCATTTTTTCGCAAAAAACATAAGGCATAAATGCGCAAACGTGGTCGGGTTTTACGAACCCAACAAAATGTGTTTGCACTCTCGCACACTTTGAATGGACATGGCATGTGACCCTCTTATTCCCTCATTTTGCGTATTCTCTACGGCTACTCGGGAGAAGCAATCAGCAGAGAGGCAGTTGAATCGATTCCCGATATGAAATTGCTTTTCCCTTCTGAAAAAATATGTCCTTTTTTTGTTTCCTAATAGTCCACGTTTCGTAAACTCATGCAATGAGCCTGTGGAGCACATGAAAATATAGGTTTAGTCAAAGGCCAGGCCAAATTCTTCCGAAAGCTGCTGTCTCTTCCACTGAACACAAGCCACAATCGGAAAAGAACGACCTTCTCGTCTAATGTATAATAGGGGAATAGTCTTCATTGTCACCTGTTCATCTAATAGCAAATGCAGAGCGACCAGGTGATTGGCCGTTATCATGCAACAGCGGGTTGGCAGGGTCAAAATGAAAGACCAAACCTCACCCAGTGATAACCAGCCAGCTTCCATCCTTCTGCGGCGGGTTACAGCGTCGTTGGGGAGACCCATAAGGGTTTTATTTGGTCGCTGATAGAGGGGGAGGTGGTTAGGGCAATGGTGATCGGTGCGAAGAATTAATCGATTATAAACGAACCATTCGCTCATCTAATTCAATGAAAAGATGCCTTCTGGCAGCTCACTGAGGCAGACCTAGACTTCGCGATGATGCGCGTCGACGCGCGTTGCAGCGCATTACAGTGCGTTGGCGCGCGCTTCGCAAAGTCTGAACGCTGCCTCGCTATGATTTCCATCCAACTTATTATGTGCCTCTCTCAATTTGGCAAATACTTTGCTGTTCTGTTTCATTAACAAGTGGCCTTGCGACACGTGCATTCACGCTCGATACATTGCCGTGACATACATTACTTGAAAACACGCTCTCCAGTTTTTTATATCATTTCTTCCACGAAACTCTTTTTCAAAATATCTAACATTTCTGTAAAATAAACGCTGCACTTTGGAAATTTCGTACCCCGTTTCCGAAATCGTTAAGATCAAGCATTTTCAGAAGCCCTGGCCAGCACTGGTGTTGGTGGGCACGCAGTTACCTGCACTGGTGGTAATTTTCGCCTCTGTGGAGAGGACTATTGCCGTTCATCGGCCTAGTAACTACTATCGACATTGGAACTACAGCTATAAATTGAAACGGCTCTTCCTACTACTTGTCGTTCAAATGGTGAGTCAATCACTTCTTCAATTTATATGTAGCAGGACGTTTCAGATTGCGCTCACAGCTCGCGATGCGAGCCATCTTGTCGCGCGGTTGCGATCAC